TCCTTGCTTCTAGTAGTAAGGCCAGGAGCTCCTAGTAGCATCCTTGCTCCTAGTAGCGTTGCCTGGAGCCCCTAGTAGCGTCCTTGCTTCTAGTAGTAAGGCCAGGAGCCCCTAGTAGCGTCCTTGCTCCCAGTATTCCGGTGGGCCCCCTGAGATCCGTTGACGGCTCGTGAGACCGTCTATTGCAAAGTACTTCGTTTTAGGACCTCGCTGGGAGGTCATCTCAGTAACGAAGTGCAAACGGATTCGCCGAACAACGAAATTCCTCAAGACGGTTCACTGCAGCGGAAGAACGCCACTGCCCCGCACCTGTCGGGAGTGAGGGATCGCTGTGTTCTGCAGCAGCCCGGAAGTGTGATAGCCCCACTCGAAGGCGGGCTTCTCGGGGTGGAAGGCCGAAGCAAAGAGCGGATGCTGACCTCACGCAAGTGAAGAACCCATAGGACCTATACCACTTATATAACTTCTTATTTCGTCCCGATGCCACAAAGTGCGTCATGCCTGCTCCCAACCAATCCACTCATGGAAGGTAGATCCGTCACTGGTGAGGGCCCTTTGCAAGACCTTCTGCAAAGGGCTCTCTTCGTGAAAATAGTGCCCATGTACCCGTTGGGCAGTTCCACTCTTGAAAGCCTCATGACAAGAGTGAAAGTTGTGTGACGTGATGTGCTTCCATCATGTTCTGGGAAAAAATGGAGCCCAAAGAGTTTTGTGTGTTTGTGTGACAACACGTCTGGTCGCCTGCTCCATCGCCCCATTTGCGCCTCCTCCCAGTCCCAATCCGAGTGGCGGCCCTGCAACAAGGAGATGAAGGTTGTGCCACTGCGATCTTCACTGGTGGCCAGGATTCGAAAGCCATCCCTCAGCTCCTGACAATGACTTGGATGAGTGCATCAAGGACAGTACATCCAAACTGCAAACCACCAAAAAAGCAAAACCTCTGAAGGGTTTGGTTTGAAACCTTAGCGTGCTTCGCTTTATCTTCTGTGAAACTGACCAACAAGTTAACAAGTTGGAATTGACTGGTGGATGAACAAGTGGACACAGCATCATGAGCTTTGTTTCCGGCAAAAGATCAGATCTGAACTCCAATGATGTGGCTGGCCCACTTACAAACAGTTCAGTTCGCTTCCCACTTGCGATTGGTAGCAGGGAGTCTTACTGGAACCTGGCATTGCTACAATCTAAGCGCTGCATACGTTGTGTACCTCTCGTTTCAGGATTTGAAGGCCCAAACATGGCTTTTGGGTACTTCCCAACTCCCATGGCCATGGCGGCCGGTACTTCCCAACTTCCCGCCTTGATGCCATGAAAGGTGCTGGGCGTGATGCCCCACTGGTGGTGATGAAAGGTGAGTGGCTCATCCGAGAGCCAGCGTCGAAGGGTGCTGGAGCCTGCAACAAATGGCGCACGGAAACACACAAATGGGCCTCTGGTCCGAGAGGTCTTTCCTTCTCTCTGGATGAAACGTCTGACTTCGCAGTTATGGTATCTGCCGATTCCCTTCTGCGGGAAGTAGCAAGTCTGCCCCCGACCGTGCTTCTCGATCAGGAATCGAAACAACATAGAGCGCAGTTGAACCAACAGCCTAAAAATATCTAAAAATTACAAAAGAAACTGCCGCAGTTTGCCCGTGACCATTCCACAAAAAGCCAGCCAATCAATGTAGCTACAAATGTTCGTGTTGATGTAGCTCGCAATCATGCCGGCATACAAATCATTGCAAAGGAGGTGTACCCTCCCACAGGATTCTTGGCGCAATCCAAGACTAGTTTAATTCAGAAGAATCAGATGCGTCTTGAGAAGGCTGTGCCAAGAGTTTTTAGTGCGGTGTAGTTGGATGATGCAACTCATGCACACCCCAAGTCCCAGCGGAGTGCAAACATGTAAAGAGGCATCAGTTGAATAAGAAGCAAACAGCGAGGAGTCAACCCCACAGTTGACCCACTTGTGAAACCGTGTGAAACCTTGTGAAACCCCTACCCGCCTGGCAGAACTTCCTCATCAAAGAGCAATTTCAAGTCAGCGCTAGGCTCAAAATGCAGTGGAAGCGCCAGGTTCTCCGCGTAGGTGCCTCAACTCGGTCCTCGTAGGTGCCTGGTTTCTACAATTCCGACACTGTGCAACCAAGGGGCATCAGATGGCATCAGATGGCATGTTTGGGGGTGTCTCAATTGCAGTGAACTGGCCTGTTGGAAACACCTACAAGTACCGCTTATTTCATAAAGTGTATCATCCCTACTGATGGGAGGTTTGGCCATGACTCCTCTGGAAAAAAAGGTGTTCCTCTCAACTGTGTTCTCTTGCAATACACATCCGTCTAAGAGAAGAATGTGCTTTCAGGAGAATGTGACGGGTACACTGGTACACATCCATGTTGGAGACGAAAACACTGGTACGCCACCAAGACCGGGGGTCTGGACCAAGTGGACCGGACCAACGGAGAATCGCCATGTGGTCTGTCACGGAGCCCGTCCGGAGAGTTTGGAACGCTCGTCGCGCCAAGGGAACCTCCAACCTAGCGATGGGAGAACAGAGCCTAAGAGCGATGACCCTAAGGTCGATAACGCCCCCGCAAGGTCAACAAGGTTTGAGATTGGAGGTATTGGAGGACCACATCCCCCCCCTAATAAAGGTGGTAACCTGGACTGGATGATGGTGGTGGATGGTTGATGGGATTCTGAGAGCGCTGAGCATATTGGCACAAGCTTGATAGAGCCATGCCAATAACTATATTATATGAAACAACAAACTAATTACATGTCTTTTTCTGGGGCAGCTGGGCTTGATTAGTATGGAGGGGTTCTGGACAGGAAAAATAATATTAGGCGGATGCCAAGGTGGAAGTTCAGGTTTTAAGTTAGTTAGTATTGGAGGCTCGAGCTGGGCTTGATTAATAGCGGGGGGGGTGCATTAATCCTATGTCAACATTAGTAGCGATGGCCTCCAACCTAAGAGCAATGGCCTCTGCCAAGCCACGCGTCAGGAAATCAGCATAGACCTTCCCAGAGACCAGCTGCACCATGTCATGGATGCCAACCTTACCCCGTTCTGTTGCAAAAAGCACACGTGGGCCAGCGTCTCTGATCTTGCTCTGCAAGGCTTTGCTCAAGATCCCTCTTTCTGTTCTTTCTCGGTGTTCATCCCACACACAAACCAAAATAGCATCCTCGTAGAATAAGAATGTTGGAATTAATTGCCTTCGTCAAGCAGTGAAAGCAAGTTGCTTGTTTGTGAAAATCGCATGGCATGTAGAGTTCTGTCTGCTGGCAATATCGAAAACATATGTAATCTATTGGTACAACTGCTTGCATGGCTTCAATAAAACAAAGGTCCAAAAGAAAATGGAAAGCAAAGTATTGTCACCCCCGATTCTACCCGATCCTTGCATCATATTCCCTCACCCTATATACATTATTCCTTCTCATCCAAAAAAACCGCTTAAGAAGCCCAGGGTTCAGAAGGTGTTCTAAGATTCCAATGGCATCAAGAGAGGAAAGGAAGACACTTGTTACTATTTTTTTTTCTTTCTTCCTTCTTCCTTCTTCCTTCTTCAGAGCAACTCGGTTGGAGGCCATCGCTACTAGGTGGAGACCATTGCTTCTTTCGGTTCCTTTTGCAGTGAACATTGAACGTGCAGGGTCCGTGCCAGTGGTCCGTGGGTGCCGACCAATCCGAGCTGCACAGGTCGCCCAGAAGGGGAAGATCTCTCCGCGCTTGGTGGCGGACACCACCTGAAAACGAAGTTGCTTTCGTAGAGAGACCAAAAGAAACCCCCCCAAAAAAGCATACAGGTTGGAGGTCATCGCTCTTAGGTTAAAGGTCCCTTCAGGTTGCCATCACTTGATAGGTGGAGGGCTTGTGAAATTAACGTAAGCTGCACCGATAGCAAGACTTCCCGATGTCAGTGGTCCCTAGGAACCCCGAGATTGGTTGTGGCCGTCTTCCAAACAAAAAATCAAACGGGAGTGCACAAAGCACGGGATCTTGCCCCAAGTAACAGCTTGTGGCAGTCTTCATATCTTAGTTTTTTTAAAACTGTGTCTTGTATATGTAAATAATTTATACATGGCTCAAGAATAACATACATCCCAAACCTAGTTGTAAAGTGAAGAAAAGTAAACCTGCAGATTTCCCTACAAAGAGCTTGTTGCTTGAGCCACAGCCCGATGAAACACATCTCCGAGATGATGCTGCCGCCGCAGCCGCCCTCGTTCAATTCCAGCCGAATCGTTGCTGAAACCCCAGGTTGAATGGACGGTACGGACCCTCAGACCGAGCACGTGATCATAGATCTTCCGCATGTATACGTCCGCTGTGCCATTCATCTTGAAGAAGCCTGCAGGCGGCATAGGGGACTCTCTAGTAGGATATTGATGGTTGTTGTGTCCATCCCAGGTGCTGCAGCAATTACTATCTTCCATCAACAAAAGGCCTAAGAAAAAGAAGCATTGCTATTGCAAATTCAACAGGATCACGGGACTAGAACCTGCGGGCACGTTGGAGAAAAGTGCCGGCCACAGTGCTTCCTCTCATGGGCTCATTCCTTAGCGACCATCCAGTGGGTAATTGAAAATGTTTCAGATGCAATGGGGGTTGCCGCAAAACAAACCCAACCACGAGTCAGAAAAGAAGGAGTACCTCCGTACACCGTGCACGGTGGAGCCCTCCCTACACCATGTGGATCACCAACCTTCAACGGCCACTCGGAGCGCTCGTTGCAGCACCAATTCCCAGTCGGACTCAGCTGACAGCTGAGGGGACCTGATGACTCATTGCTTCAGTTCACGATTTGGTGCCGCACGGAACACAAGTTCGGACGACGTCAAATCGTAAAGGACGACGCATGGTCATCCGGACCTTCTGAGGGATATGTCCGACACAACAATGATTGCCCCGCCCTCGCTGGCCCGGAAATCAGTCCCGCCCCAATCTCGAGCCCACCTCCGATGGTCATCACGCCATTGACGTGCGACAGAACATGGTCAAATTCCTCCTCCTGTGACATGGCGACAGAGGAGGATTGAAGCACTGCACCTGTGACTAAGTGGGCAAGCCCTTCTCCCATTCCACGAAGGCAAAGGGCACTCACACTCCTGGAAGATAGGGGGGGCCCATCATTCGGCTTAGAGCATCTGTGGCCTGATCCGCAGGCCCAAAAAAGATACGCTTAGCATGAATTATAGACCTATCCCCCTAGAATACCCCAGCTAGGCCACTAGGCTGTCAGCAGCTTTGGCGAGGTTTGCACAACCTCTCCGCAGCACCCCTTAGGTACACGTCCAATACACATTCGCTCCTTCATGCCAGGGTAAAGCGGTACCACTTGCGCCCCACCCTGCTGCAGTAGTTGCACCTCAACGTGCCCATGTGAAGCTGAGTTCGTATGGTCGTGGTGCTGGTGCCCTGGATGTTTTGGCCGAGAGGGCGTCGATTGCTAACTTGGTGTCGAAACTTTGCTGCGTTTTCTTTCGCGCTGTCATTCTCAAGGCAACTGAGTGACATGTCCATGTTTCCCATGCCCCAACAGCACGGACGTATTTCCACGCGCTTCCAGCCACACATGTCCAATGAAGCAATGAAGCACTGAACCATCCAGGCCGGACCAAGGGGGACTTGAACCCGAAACCCCTAGTGGGTCAAGACCCCACAGCGCACCGAAAAAGAATCGAGCCGGTCGGTTTGCGCTGAAGCTGATGACAGTTTCACACCTTGATCACCCAAATTCGCACAAAGGGTTCACTTTCGTGGGGTCTAGTCTCCCCCACCCGAAGATGGATGTGAAGAAGTGAAGATGTGAGAAGACTTAACGCTATTAGGGGCTCCTGGCCGTACTACTAGTAGTTTCTCAAATGTTTCTTTTTTGTAATGAAGAACCCTTTGCTCAGGCATTTTCGGAAAATGCTACCAGAGAATCAGAGGTCATTGATCAACCTTCTCGAAAATAGCTCACAGTCTCCACCTTACTGCCCCCAAAATCGCTCAACAGGCGAATACCCTGAGTCCCTTGAAGAACCGCTGAATGTCAGCCACCGGTGGTGTCAAGTCACATAGGATGCAGGGATGTAGGAGCTGCAGTTGTAGAGGATCCCACAATCGCTGGCTAAAATAGCAATCACCGGCCTGCACGATTGGACGCATGCGTGATCAGCTGAGAGTACTATTGTGCCAGTGGTGTTGTGGCTAAGACAGCACTCCTCGGTGCATCCTGAAATCTGAAAGGCCACCTTTAGGCACAGTTTCAGTTCCACATGCCTACACCTGGCATGTCCAAAAAGAACACAAATTAGATTCTTGGTCAGCTGCTGGGAACCAAAGCTATTCTCACACGCGCACGAACCCTATACGCACATCCCTGTAAGTCACTGACTTGGAGTGTGTTTTGGAGTGGAGTTTTCACCTGCTCATCTCAGATTGCGAAAAGGAGCTTTTTCCTGTCAAAAGAGACTCCGACAAACCGACCATCGGGTAGCTTCTTGTTACTAGTAGCGATGGCCTCCAACCCAGTAGCATTCTTGAGACTAGTAGCAAGGCCAGGAGCCCCAGTAGAAATGCCCTTGTTACAAACCGAACGGACACTCCGAGAGAAAGGGCCTCTCGTTCTCCGTCCACGCTTTGGCGGCGCTGCGAGCTCCTGCAGCATCGGTGGGCCACTTCTCGCTTGAAACTCTTTATACTTCTTTCCAGAACCTAAAGTACCAAGTTCATAGTAGCAACAAGGGCATTCCTACTAGTAACAAGAAGCTACTAGTAACAAGTGCATCGCTACTAGCAAGAAGCTACTAGCAACAGAAGATCTCCAGAGGGCCATGGGTTACAACATGTTACAACCTGTGGAAAGAGTCGGGTCGGAACTTTACAACCCTACCCGAGCCTGCACTGAAAGCGGTAAGGCCCTCTGCCCTGGGCAAGGCTGGCAGCGTTGCAGAGTACAGCGTCGCAGGAATCAGAACGAGGCAAGCAATGAAGGCACCTCCCCAGCTGTGACGGCAATGACAGCGTTTTCAGCTCTTGTGTACCCAGATGTACCCAGTTCGATTGCATTTCCTTCAATTTATGAGGTTGAGACGTGCAGAATTATCGAAAAAGGTGTTGTTTGATACGCGATATTTGTCGGAACAATATCAAGGGCGGCACGTGCTGCCAAAGAGCAACAGGACTACGCTTTACATCTGGCCAGAGGCCACCTGAAATTGCTACTGTGCGAATGTTGTTGATGGGGCATTCACCAGATATATATATATACATATAATCTCAGCCAAAGTGGGCAGGTGGTGAATCCCGGGAAAGACTCCTTATGAAAATGCCATCAACTTTTCTATTTTTTCAAAGGCATTTTCATTAGACCACCTGCGCAAAGGCAATAGGTGAAAGACTCCTGCAAAAATATTAAGGGGGGGGCAATGTCCATGGGTAGTGGGACGACTGTGCTGTGGAACTAAATGATCTCACAAGCTTCAGTCTTTTGCAACTGGGTGTTTCTCTACTATTAAGTTGGAGGCCATCGCTCTTGGGTTGGAGGCCATCGCAATTACGAGGAGTTGAAAGCGGGGTGCTTCATCCGTTCTCAGACGCATATATTGTTTGGACCCAGCAATGAAGGCCTTTCACATCAATGGAAGGTCAAACAGACTCCATCCAATCCTCTGAACACCTATAATATACATATATATATATATATTGTTATATAGTACTGCATATATATATATATATCTATATAACTATATATACAGTGTTTTGCATGCATCCCGAAAGGAGAAAGAAGTGCCTCCATGATTTCTGTCTTGGCAAGTCATAGCTGTGGTCCTTCGTGGAAAAACCTGTGAGACCAATTCTCCGTGTCGACCGCCCTACGAACGGACTGCCTACACATGCAGATCTGCAGCTGGAGCTGGTCTCCATCCTTCGATATCCTGACCAGTCCACCAGACAGCGAGCATGGAAAACACGGGGCAGGCTGATGTTTCTACATCACCTCTAGGAATGCTTGACAACTTTCCAAGGAGGAAACTTGACCCACTTATTTTCTCTCATCCACAGTATTGTTGCAACCTGGGAATGACACCCACCTTAAGGTAGTGCAGTACATTGTCAATCAAGAACGGCATAACGTGAAGAAATAACCAAAATGAGGTGCACAAGAACACAACTCTCATAACTTGCCTGCATCTTCACAGGCACCTTGCAGACCTTGGCCATTCCCCATGCGAGCCACCTGCTCGTGCGGCGGGCCCGTGCGACCCTGTCTTCATGGTCTTTTGGCCTTTCTTGGGAGCGAGGTCCCAGGTTTAGTCTAATATATATATATATATGATGTGTAGCAGATTCAGAGTACACAGCGTCAACCCAACAGCTCTCTACATGGTGCTTCTTCTTGTTCACCACCCTGTCACTGTCGTGCCCCATCTAGATTGAAGCCTCTGCATTCGCTGGGATTATCCCCCAAGTCAAACAAATCCTCAAATCTTTCGGGCCTACCTATAGTAAAGGCAAAGACCCCAATTCCCGTCTTTTAGGAAGTCCTTTGGGCAGCATGACCTTGTAAGACTATATTTTGGTATATCGTATATATACATACTGTACAGTATACACCGTGCCATGCTCACCGCGATGGTTTTGGGCCTCAACCTATCCAGCACGACTGTCCCAAAAGGACAAAAAGGCTCACACCAACTCAGCAAAAACAGCCGTTATTGAAGAAACAAACAACTTCGAAACACAGGTTTGAAGCCACAGGGTTTGCTTCTTCGTCATATTGTTAAAGCAATTCCCTTGCCACTTTGGCCAACTCAACAACGCAAGTTACTTTCACAAAGGAAGACTGGAAGACTTCATCGAAATATGCCGCAACCTGCGTTTGATGTAGAGAAAAGTGCAACCAACTTTTGGGACCCTGAAGATTCAGAGGTCTAGATAGGTCTAGAACCTTTTCTTAGTTTTTTTTTGAAAAGAAGAAAACGATTTGGACCAAACTTGCTGCTGATCAGCTGATTGGATGATCATTTTCTTGAGGATCCGAGGCTGATCAAGTCTTTTGGTCAGAATGACACAGCTTCATTCCACATCACCCAACAGGTTGGAGGCCATTGCTATTATAGAGGTTCCTTTTGCTTACTAGGGTCCTTATGCTATTAGGGTGAAGGCCATCGCTATTAGGGTGGAGGCCACATGGATACTTCCATATTATCCAATACTTCATTGGCCTCCAGAGGGCCATAATCCGGACCCATCCAGTGACGCTCCCCACGCTTTCCAACGTGCCTGGATCCGGCTTCCAGGTGAGCGAAACCACGAAGCGTCGTTGCTTGATGCGATGTCCCAAAGGGTCATGGGGGAAGTGCAAGTCGGTTCTTTCGTTGGTCACATGTGCGAAGGAGAAAGCATGATAAAGATATTAGCCGGGCATAGATAGGCATAGCGGCATAGCATTGCCGCAGGTTTTTGGCTGTTTTCGCTGCTGTTAACAGGAAGGCTTGCGGCTTGTAATGTGTGTTGTCCAGGACTTACTAGAATGCTTGACAAATGGTGGGTTTGATGACTTTGAGATGATTCATGTAGTGAGTCCGTGCTGCTTGAAGCTTATTCTCCTAAAGGTAGACACCGAGAGGTGCGGCCTTGACTGACCGTTTCCTCAACAAACCGTCACCGGACCGTCACCATGGCAGTCTTGACCTGTCTACCAACAGCTGCGGTGAACGATTCATCGAAGCCTGGCTCCGAAAAGGATCGCCCATTCAGTCGCATCGCACTTCTTTTGCTTCTTTCAGCGGCTTTTTATGTGGCATCAAGTGGAGTAAGGCGAGAATTGGAGTTGTAAACGCCGGAAAGCATTCGATGGAACGAGGTCCCACAAGCCGAAGATCGCAAATAATGTAAAATAAAACATTCAAGAAGATAGAAACCAAGCCAACCTCCAGCAAGCTCAGCAGCTGTCCCCAGCAGCTGTCCCCAGCTGACGTCCAATAATGATGTTTGTATATCTACTTCAAGACTCAAGTCATCCAAACG